CATAGCTGCTCCAGGGCCCTAATTCCCCTAGGCCCCTTAAAACCCCCCCTCCTCAACTGCTCCCAGATACAGAGTGGGCTAATTTGGGGGCCCGTTTCCCGGGGCCCCTTTTCCCAAAGCTTTCTGTCTCCATCCCCCACACTCTCCATGTGCCACTTTCAGGTCCCTAAAACTGTGTTTTTCCATTTTGTCATAGGGGGCTGGCCCGATTACGGGGCCCCCCATTGCTGCCGCCAGGGGCCCGGGAAAAATGCCAGGGGCCCCTTTTCCCCCCCTCCTCATGCTGCTGGCCAAATACAGAAATGTCTAATGGTCCCTGTAACCCCCTCCCCTTGCTGCTGTCTCCATCGCCCCCCCTCTGCCATTTCCACTTTTAGGACCCTCACAATGCCCGGTGTGTTCCATTTTGTCATAGGGGGGCTGGCAGATTAAAGGGGCCCCCCCCCATTGCTGCGCCAGGCCCGTTTAAACTGCCCCTGGGCCCCCGTACCACCTCCTCATGCTGCTGCCCCGGTCCCCGAGCTCCCCATGGGGCCCCCGTACGGCCCCCCCATTTCTGCTTCCCCCATCGCCACACTCTGCCATGGCCACTTTCAGGTCTCCTCCACTGCTGGGGGGTGTTCCCTTTTTTCAAAGGGTGCTGGGAGATTACGGGGCCCCCCCAAATTTCTGCTGCCAGGCCCTAATCTGCCATGGGCCCCGGGAACCCGGGCCCCCTCAAGTGCCCGCCAGGTTCCCGAGTCCTCATGGGGCCCCCTAACCGGGCCTCCCATTTTCTGCTTTTCTCCCTCCCGCCACACCCCTGCCCTGTTTCCCCCTTTTTAGGGCTCCTCACACTGCGGGGTTTCCCCTTTTGTCATTTGGGGGCGGCAATTTTCGGGCCCCCATTGCTGCGCCACCCGTAATTTTGCCATGGGGGCCCCCCACCCCCAATTTCCCCATCCCGCTGGCCGGAGGGCCAGAGCTCTCATGGGGCCCGTTAAAGGCCTCCCAAACGCTGTTTTCCATCGCCCCAAACTGCCAAAGTCCACTTTCAACTCCTCACACTGCTGGGGGTTTCCATTTTGTCAAGGGGGCTGGCAGAAATTTCGGGCCTTTCCCCTTGCTGGGGTGCCAGGCCGTAAACTTCCATGGGCCCCCGTACCGACTCCTCATTCCTTACGTTGCAACAAGGGGGGAATTCCCAAACCCAAAATATGGTTTAAACCCCCTTTACGAAAAGCGAAAGGGGCCCTCACCAAATTTCCCCGGGTTTTCCAAAAGCGGTTTAAAGGGACTCCCCTTTAACCCTTTGGGTGTCAGCCATTTGGCCCGCTCATCGTGACAAACCCCCGCTTGCTCAGGCCCCTTTTTAGGGGGCCAAAAACCCCCTTTTTTCCCCTGGGTTCCGGGACTATGGATTTAAAGACGTCATTTTCCCCTGTTTTCACGCCTGGAACAAATGCTGTTAAAAAATGGCTGGTCCCGGGTGCGGAGGGCGGGGGCGCACAGATCTCAAACCCCCCAAAGAACCCCGTGGGGGCAGGACAAAGGGAAAAGAGGGGGGAAAAAGGAGGACCCTTTGGGGCTCCCGGAATTTTGAGTGAAATGGGGGGTTTTTTTCCACTCAAACGGACAGGAGTTTGGGGGACAGGAGCAAACTGGAGAGGAGGAGGAAGAGGAGACAAGGGCCCCCGACGCAAACCCGGGGAGTAACGTGGGGGAAAGGAGGCAGGGAAATCCCTCGCATCCTTTGGGACAAATGGCCCATAGCATGCCGCTTTCTTTCTACGACAGCCGAAAAAAAACCCACAACAGAATGACTTTGGATGCCCACCTTTTTGGGACCCTCGCTACCCGTTTCAAAAAGGGGCCTTTTTCACACCTCTGAGGGGGGAGGCCAAAATAACTACATAAAAACCACCAAATTAGTCACTGGTCCTGCCTGTCTGCGCCAACGCCATCCCAAACCCTTTGGGCCCTGTCGCTCGCGTTTCCGCTGCCATCACAGGGGAGGGGTGGGGGTGTAGGATCAGTGCAGCTCCACCAGCAGGCGGCTGCCTCAGTCTGCATCTATTGATGATTAGCTGTTCCTTCACCAGCGGCATAGAGGAAACTACTTAAACCAGCCGCAGCAAGCAGGCACAGCTTCATCAGGTTGACCTGGAAGCAAGGACCTCAACACAACAGGCTTGGTCTACTTATTGGAACAGCAACCCGCCACCTAGGTAGACAATCCCCCCTTGTACTCTGGGCTACGAAACGTGACCTTAGGCCCCAACTAGCTGAATTTTGCCCTGGAAAGCTGTCAATGACCCGGCCAGTAGCGTGGCATCGGAGCGCGTGGTTTGAGTTTGGCAGAGAGTATTTGCAACTCCGGCGAGGACACGTCTGTCCACCCAAAAGAGTGTGGAGAGGAACTCAACGTTTGTGAAAATGAATCAGGCGTGGATTAAGTCTGTATTTTCAAAACCACCAGTTTCCTGACACGATACTGTGACTAAAATCCGCCATGACTCAGTGCCCCAAACATGTTAATTAATTTTAACATAGGCCTTGTGTATGGCCTTCACTGTAAGCTGGCTCTACGCTTCGACAACTCCTGCCTGGACCCCTGTACCGCCTCCTCTTGCCTGCTGCCCAGGCGCTCCAGAGTGTGTCATGGGTTCCCTGTACGGCCTCCCATTGCTCCTGACTCATCATCGCCAGACTCTGCCGATGTGCCACTTTTCAGGTCCTCCTCAACAACTGTTGGTGGGTTCCATATTGGTTCATAAGGGTGCTGGCGAGATTTATCGGGCCTCCGCGCGCATAGCTGACTGCCAGGCCCCAAAGCTGCCATAGGCCCCTATATACTGCCTCCTCATGCTGCTTGCCAGGTCCAGAGTGTGTCATGGGTCCCTGTACGGCCTCCCATTGCTGCTGTCTCCATCGCCACACTCTGCCATGTGCCACTTTCAGGTCTCCTCACACTGCTGGTGGGTTCCATTTTGTCATAGGGTGCTGTATGGCCTCCCATTGCTGCTGCCTCCACCGCCACACTGTGGCTCCACACTCTGGTTTTGGCCCCGTGACTGCCCAAATGAGTGAAGTGTGCGGTGATTCTAAGATCGAACGGCACTCATCTGCATGTCATACTGCGAATCGAATTTATTCCTCGAATTCGCCGAATCAGCCGAATCGAATTTTTGAATACTTCGCTCATCTCTAGTTAGGACCTCTTGTACCACCTGCCCCACCCTATTAGATGGTAAGCTCTTATGGGCAAGGCACTCCTAGTGATTGTATTGTAACTGTACTGTCTCCCCTTATATAGCAGAGCGCAGTGCATACAGTTGCTGCTATACAAATCCTGTATTATAGTAATCATAATAATTATACATGTCGTAATTGTTCATCAAAGTGGCATGTAAAGTGGTTGGGATCCTATAATACGACGACATTCTAGTAACATTCAGAGTTTATTTACACGGGCTAAACCAACAACAACAAACGATGGAAGCCATTTACAGGAGCAGGGGGACGAGGATGTGTACATTTGCTATGGCTGCAAAGAAGGAACATTTCCACGGCAGTCATATAAAGTCATAGCTGCTGCAAATTAAAATGTTGAGGTTACTTCTGGTAACTGTTAAGGGCTTCAGTAATAATGACTTCAAATTTCAAAGGAAAGAGAGAGCGGCTTAAATAGAGTTAGTTAGAGGCGGGATTTATTTCATTGTTCAGTGCATGTGCTGACAAGAAGCATGCTGATAGAAGGAGAGAGCAGAGTGGCAAAGAGATGAGCCTTGTCATTGTGCTGCTTCCACAGTCACAGGCTGGGGAACAGGGTGATCTGGGCTCAGAGGAAGTGGGTTCAATAATGCTAGCCATCGGTCTGTGGACATCTAGTGGCAGAGGAATGTACTGCAGGGGAAATCTCTGGATTGAAGGTGAACGTTGGGGCAAAAGCAGGTTTTGCTACTTTTATTTTTTATTTTTATCTTGTTATTTTTGCCTGCGTAAGTAAAACATTACTGCCATTACAAATATACAGGCGTACCTCGGTTTACGAATTGAATGGGTTCTTCTAAACGATTCGTGTTGCGAAAAATTTGTAAACCGTAACTCGGTTTCCCATAGGAATGCATTGAAAACCAATTAATCCATTCCGGAGGTCAGAGAAAAGTAAAAAAAAAAGTCGCTGTCACTTCAGTGCCGGTAATTACCGGATTTTTTTTTTCTTCACTATAGCTCAGAGAATCAGCTGTCACTTCTCCCCTCCCACCCCTCCCCCCGAATAAACGAAAGAGAGTTTCCTTTTCGTTTCTTTTCGAGCTAAAAAAAAAACAATGTTTCCTTTTAGTTTGTTTCCCGAGTTAAAAGAAACAAGCTAATTCTGTGATCTATAGTGAAGAAAAACAAAGCCGGCAATTGCATTTAAAGATCGGAAAAAAAAAAAATGTGTAAACTGTGAATTACTTTCAATGGATTTTCATTTGTAAACCTAAAATTCCGATAACCGAGGCGTTCGTACCCCGAGGTATTCCTGTAATATATAATTGTTACACAAGCCCATTATTCTTCAGAAGTAACCTTTCCATTTTTTTTTTTTTGCAGCAGCAGCAGCTATGATTTTATATGACTGCCATGAAAATGCTCCTTTTGCAACCACAGCAAATGTACACTGTCCTCATCCCCCCCTGCTCATGTGATTGGCTTACATCTTTTTTTTTTTCTACTTAGCCATCATGTCTCGTTATTTCCATTACAGAAGCGGGAGGGAATGCGTATTCCATTTTGCTATGATCCTTGTAATCTGCATATGTGACGTGGAGGGGATTGTGTCTCAAAAGCACAGAGTTCCACCTTCAGTATTACCTTCATGATTCTCATTTGACACGTCTTTGTAAAGAGTCCCTCCACCTCTGAGTACTCCGGGCTGCTGCTGTTCAGAGGTACCACCTTCAGCTGGATGTTGTCCATGGAATCCCAATATGGAGGGATTACGAGGGACTCTTCTGTAATATGAAGAGTTACATTTTGGTTTCATTGTAGAACATAATTATCACCCATCAGTGTACATTGATAGGAATCTCAGAGACCAAGAGACCACCATGATTGGCACACCCTGCAGACCTCATTACACACCTCCCTCAGTCATCCTACTGACCTAGTCCTCCACCATGGATGGATTCGTTTGGGAAGTACAGGAAGGAGAGTATTGATGTCCAGAAGTCATTTATTAGGCAAAGTAACAACATCCAATGTGTTGCAGGGGTCTAACTTTCATCATGGCCGGATACAGTTGGACAAGAGAAAATCCTTGGTTTAGCAGGGGGCTGTACCAGAGACAGGATCGGCCCCTTCAGAGGCCAAGAGGGCACTCTTTACATCTGGAAGAAAAGAGATTTAATCTCCAAACATGGAAAGGATTCTTCACAGTGAGAGCTGTGAGAATGTGGAATAGACTCCCTCAGGAGTTGGGTGTGGCCAGCTCAGTGGATTGCTGGCGGAAAGTCCTGGATTCTTTCTTGGATACACAGAATATAACTGGATATAACATTTATTGGGAAAGTGGATCCAGGGAATATCTGATTGCCTCTCGGGGGATCAGGAAGAATTTTTTTCCCCTGCAGGGGCAAATTGGATCGTGCTTTGCTGGGTTTTTTTTGCCTTCCTCTGGATCAACTGTGGGTGTAGGATTATAATTTCTTTTTGAACTGGATGGAATTTTGTCTTTTTTTTCAGCCAGACTAACTATGTAACAACATCCAATGTGTTCCAGGGTTCTAACATTTGTCAGGACCGGATACTGTTGGACAAGAGAAAAGCCTTGGTTTAGCAGGGGGCTGTACCGGAGACGGGAACGGCTTCTTCTTTTCTCCTGCAGTAAATAGATTGCGTCCTCCATTTCCAATGATCTGGATTCTCTCTTGTTCAACAGCAGAGGAATCACATGGATGATGGTTCCCTCTATGATGATGATGTTCCCTGTATGATGATTGATGTTTCTGTAGGATATATTGTACTCCGGTTCCTGTACAATGCCTGATGTTAAATAATGTACAAATGGAACCTGCGCAGTGGACCAGAGATAACGTGTAGATGGAGCCGGCTGCTGCTGGCAATACCACAGATGTGTGAATAAGAACGTAAATGTACTATGGTTCTATCATATAATCACTTATTTACCTGATTTATCTAAATTGATCTTATTACAATTATCTAATGCTTGATTCAACTTAAAAAAATATATATAATTAAATCCACTTATAATGTTTGTACACTGTAATTAATTCATATAAAATGTGTGAAATAAATTAATAAAGTGTTCTGTGCCAGTGTTCAAATAAATTTGTAAATAAATTAAAATGATCTAATGTGCAAATGATATTAAAACTACTGTAAATTTCATATATATATAACTAAAGTATAAATAAATGAAATACTATAAATAATAAATTTCATATATATAACTATAGTGTAAATATATAAAATACTGTAAAAAAAAAAATAACTTAAAATTCAATTCATAAAGTATAACCTGAAAACTCTGTGCCAAAATGTGCAAAAGAAATGTGCAAATTATAAATTGCATATATGTAGTGAAATATAAATAAATAAAAATTTATAAAAAAATCATTAAAAATATATCAGTCCATAAAGTGTCACTCCAAACGAATTGTGCTGAAAAATGGGCAAAATATCAAATGTGCAAAAATAAAGTTTTTAAGATTCCACAGGAAGAAGGTATTGATAGTATACTCTCCTTTTTCAAATGAATTAAGATGGTGCAGGTGGGAGCTCACAGACTATCTTCTAAGTCTGTGTAGGTGTGAGATTTTTCTCCCTCCTATAACTTCTCCTTACTCCAATCCTCAATGTCTCCTCATATGACCCATGGAAGAAAGAAGAAAAAGAAATATGGTGCCTTATCTGGGGTATAGTAAACACTATTTAATGTGCTCCCATTATGCACTCACATGGTAACAAATATATATCACGCATATAAAAGATGAAACCGCTATCTGCGGTAAAGCTCAGCCTCTCAGATATGTGCTTCCACTCTGTCAATACTCGCCGCAATGTCAGTCCAGTACGTGGTGACGTCTACATCCCCCAGACGAAGCTACGTTTTTCCCTGTGGCGCAACGCGTTGGGGAGGGGCAGTGACGTCACCACATACCGGACTGACATTGTGGCGAGTATTGACAGAGTGGAAGCACATATCTGAGAGGCTGAGCTTTACCGCAGATAGCGGTTTCATCTTTTATATGCGTGATATATATTTGTTACCATGTGAGTGCATAATGGGAGCACATTAAATAGTGTTTACTATACCCCGGATAAGGCACCAGATTTCTTTTTCTTCTTTCTTCCATGGGTCATATGAGGAGACATTGAGGATTGGAGTAAGGAGAAGTTATAGGAGGGAGAAAAATCTCACACCTACACAGACTTAGAAGATAGTCTGTGAGCTCCCACCTGCACCATCTTAATTCATTTGAAAAAGGAGAGTATACTATCAATACCTTTTTCCTGTGGAATCTTAAAAACTTTATTTTTGCACATTTGATATTTTGCCCATTTTTCAGCACAATTCGTTTGGAGTGACACTTTATGGACTGATATATTTTTAATGATTTTTTTATAAATTTTTATTTATTTATATTTCACTACATATATGCAATTTATAATTTGCACATTTCTTTTGCACATTTTGGCACAGAGTTTTCAGGTTATACTTTTTGAATTGAATTTTAAGTTATTTTTTATTTACAGTATTTTATATATTTTTACACTATAGTTATATATATGAAATTTATTATTTATAGTATTTCATTTATATATACTTTAGTTATATACATGAAATTTATAGTAGTCTTAATATCATTTGCACATTAGATCATTTTAATTTATTTACAAATTTATTTGAACACTGGCACAGAACACTTTATTAATTTATTTCACACATTTTATATGAATTAATCACAGTGTACAAACATTATAAGTGGATTTAATTATATATATTTTTTAAGTTGAATCAAGCATTAGATAATTGTAATAAGATCAATTTAGATAAATCAGGTAAATAAGTGATTATATGATAGAACCATAGTACATTTAAATTAACAATATCACTATAAAAATATATATTATATAGCAAAGGTTAGGAAAAAGTAGAGCGCGGATCACCACATATTGCTTATTTATAGAAATCACATTCCATGAGAGTGAGAAATATTTCAGCGATCTAACACTTAAACTTTTCAACTCCAGTGGCTCACAAGTTCATCCCAATAAGAACGTAAATGAATGCTGCGCTGCCACTAGTGATTAAGTCTGCCACACTAGATTCCTGATTGTGGCCCACAGATAAATAGACAAAGAAAATAAGTGACTGCATACCATATACAGCCTTGTGTGCACCCTTCCTCCCCAGGGTCTCAGTGCATCCCTGTTATTAGGGGGAAGTTTGCATACCTATATACCGTGTGCACGCACAGGAAATTGAAGCAGGGGGGATGTTTAAAAACGTCAACCCGCTTCAGCAGCGCCCACTTCCGGCTGTTTATCTGCATGGGCCAGACGGGAAGTGGTTAAGTCTAGTTGGTATGTCCTCTGATTGCTGAGTGGCAGGGGTCCAACTGTCCAGACTCCTGCCAGTCAGCATGTTGAGTGGCATCGTTGAGCAGACCTTTGCCTAACCCCACTCACAGGTGCTCTACTGCAACATGGTGGTTTTGGCCTTTATAGGAAGTCTGTCTAGATTGCATCACACAAGGCAGACAGCCGTGCGCGGTGTTGAGCTTGGGTTGTCCCGGCTCCGGTATTTACACTGCCAGATGTGGAGGCTCATAAATGGGGAGACTTGTCCACAAGAAATTGGAAGACCTCTTGCCACTCATGTCAGGTGACATTCTTCCATTTTCAAGCCCTGCCTTTTCCTGCAGACATGTTAGTACTTAGTTCAAGCAGAATTGCCAAGCATGTTTAGACCTGGCACATCGTGAAAGTGAAAGGAGATATGGGTGTAGGCCTTTGCTGTCAGCAGAACATTGAAAGTGAGAAGGATGGTGGGTCATTGCAGTAGAGGTGTCTGTGGACTGGCTGTAGACATCAGAGTAGAGTCGGACATGCAGGTCATACAATCTGTCTCATGATGTCTTTGGCCTGGGGGCTCCCCCATACAGGATAGATTTAGTCAGCCAACATTCCTGGCTTGGCATTGAGGGAAGCACATACAGACAGTCCTGTCCTTGGCCTTGGATAAATCAATGTTTCCTAACCTGTCCAATCACTTTTTTCCCCCAAGATAAGTCAGTCTGACCTTTAGACATTCAATTCTAGTCCATTCCAGCCAGGAGTATTGGGAGACTGCCATGTCATGTCTAGGGACACATGTCGGGGGTCTGCATTGCACTGTATCTTGGCCTTCCAGTTGGGTTCTCAGCCTGAAAACATCTGTCCAGCATAATACAGAATAAAGAGCCCTCACCTCTGTAACCGAGGACTCCCAAGGCTGTCAATCCATTTATATTTCTGTTAGCTGGAGCTGTCAAATATTAACTATATATTTATTTGATGATTGATAAGGATATGAACGAGAAAGAATGGAATTTACCATTTTTTGGATTTCGTTGAAGATTGATCGTGGTTCCTTTGGCATTCATTGCGGTTTTCAGCTCTATATTTGCCTTGTGTTTTACACCGCCGATATCAATGTCCATAAAACCTATCTCATCGATATAAGCCTTTTCCAGCTTTAGGTTTGTCATTTTGTTGAAGACAATAAACTTGGTGCCTTGGTAATATCCCCACTCCACCACGTTACTGCACAGCTCCGCCTCTCGTTCTTGCGTCTTCTTATCTCGCACACCTTTAATCATCTCCTGGATTTTATTACTGACCTTCAGAACATCCTTGGTGTGGCCCGTCACCTTAATAGTGGACCGTGTTGAGTCAATATTAATAGAAACTCCATTGTCCCTTTGAACCCGAGCCAGGTCACCATGGTCCTTATCATCTAATTCCTGTATCCAGTTATCTGTGATAGTATTGTCATGCTGATCCTTTGTTATGTGGTCTTGGAGCCAGTCTGAGGCCGCTTTCACAGATTTGGGGCTTTCTGCACACAGGTGGAAAATGGCCGGATCGATGTTTTCTCTCAGCTCAAAAACTTTGAGTTCTTCTTCTTCCTCTTCCTTGATGTCCTTATTGCCGGTTTGGGTCATAACAAAAAAAGCTGTTATAAAGAGAAGGTCAAGAATATTTACAGAATTTGTGCGCCATGTAGAAGGACAGCGATACATAAAGGAAGACCTCCTGCCTGATACAACATTGTCAATGGTAAAGGAAGTGAGGGAAAAGTTTCTGTAGTCTAGATAGATCAGATCAGGTACAAAGCTGATTCCACCACTAGTAACCTAGGAGAAGCTGCTCTTTTAGGCTCCATGCACACTGTCAGGAATGGACTGGCCAGCAATGGTGGGACTCACCTGCCTTATGAGCTGCAGTACCAGGGCTGGCCAGCGGGTGCTCCCAGCAATCAGAGACTCAACCTTGCAGCCAGCCAAACACCTGGAACTGATTATACTGGTGTATTTAAGGGATGGCCAGACCTGCAGACTCTGCCTTGGTGTGTGTTTTTCCTGGGCCCTGTATCTTGTTCCTGCATCCTGTTCCTGTTCCTGTTCATGTCTTGTTGCTGACCCGGCTTGATCCTGACCTCTGCTGACTTCTCCTGTTCTGATCCCTGGCTTGTGACCCCGACCATTCTCTGCCTGACCCCCCTGTACCTACCTGCCTGTTAGTTGCTGTACCCGGCTCGTGACCTGACTACTCTCTGCCTGCTCCTCCTGTTCCTACCTGCCCGTTTGTTATTGACCCGGCCTGCCCTGACGACGCTTGCATTGTATGTCTTATCTGTGGGTGGTTGGTTGGTTCGTTTGCACTGTGTTATGTTTTAGTATTGCACTGCGTTTATGTTTGTATTGTTAGTCTTGAATAAATTATATTGTTTATAACTTATCTGAAGCCTGCATTTCCCTGCGTCAGTCACATACCTCTGGTCATACCCTGGAGCCCTGACACACACTAGGGGGGGGTGCATTTTAATAACGCTGGTAATGTTAGCTGTGTAAAGTCATGTTAAAAACGTGAGTTTTTCAGAATTTTTTAGTGTTTTTGCATTAGCGTTTTGCAGCCTTTTTTTAACCTTTTTTTAACCAAAAAAAAAACTATTTTGTTTTAGTAAAAAAAATCCAAAAACGCAGATTTGCCACAATTTACCACATTTGTCAGCGTTAAAGCACTTTTACAGCTAAAAAACTCCTCTAGAAACCCACTAGTCCTTGGTTTTTTTTTGCAGCCAAAAAATGTCCCTGCCAAATAAACGTTGATTCCAGTCTCTGTGTATAGGATAACATGCTGGGGGGGGGGGGATTTACAGGCTGTACAAAAAAACATCAAAAGCCAAAAACAGCCGCTGTAATAACGTCCCGTGTGCATGAGGACTTACAGAGATGACATGAGCAGCTCACTATGGATCAAAACCCAGGGCCCAGCCTGTCTAATGTGGGGGTACAGTAAAAATTGTTAGGGGGCAGAGGGTGGGAGGTCAGCAGGGCAGTGTAAAGGGGTTGATAGGGCAGAGGATAGGGCAAGCATTTTGTAGGGCAGTGTACAGAGGGTATTAGTCTGTAGGGCAGTGTACAGAGGGTATTAGTCTGTAGGGCGGTGTACGGAGGGTATTAGTCTGTAGGGCGGTGTACGGAGGGTATTAGTCTGTAGGGCGGTGTACGGAGGGTGTTAGTCTGTAGGGCGGTGTACGGAGGGTATTAGTCTGTAGGGCGGTGTACGGAGGGTATTAGTGTGTAGGGCAGTGTACGGAGGGTATTAGTCTGTAGGGCGGTGTACGGAGGGTATTAGTCTGTAGGGCGGTGTACGGAGGGTATTAGTCTGTAGGGCGGTGTACGGAGGGTATTAGTGTGTAGGGCAGTGTACGGAGGGTATTAGTCTGTAGGGCGGTGTACGGAGGGTATTAGTCTGTAGGGTGGTACGGAGGGTATTAGTCTGTAGGGCGGTGTACGGAGGGTATTAGTCTGTAGGGCGGTGTACGGAGGGTATTAGTTTGTAGGGCGGTGTACAGAGGGTATTAGTCTGTAGGGCGGTGTACAGAGGGTATTAGTGTGTAGGGCGGTGTACAGAGGGTATTAGTCTGTAGGGCGGTGTACGGAGGGTATTAGTTTGTAGGGCGGTGTACAGAGGGTATTAGTTGTAGGGCGGTGTACGGAGGGTATTAGTGTGTAGGGCGGTGTACAGAGGGTATTAGTCTGTAGGGCGGTGTACGGAGGGTATTAGTCTGTAGGGCAGTGTACGGAGGGTATTAGTTGTAGGGCGGTGTACGGGGGGTATTAGTTGTAGGGCGGTGTACGGGGGGTATTAGTTGTAGGGCGGTGTATGGAGGGTATTAGTTGTAGGGCGGTGTACAGAGGGTATTAGTTGTAGAGCGGTGTACGGGGGGTATTAGTCTGTAGGGCGGTGTACAGAGGGTATTAGACTGTAGGGCGGTGTACAGAGGGTATTAGTCTGTAGGGCGGTGTACGGAGGGTATTAGTCTGTAGGGCGGTGTACAGGGGGTATTAGTTGTAGGGCGGTGTACAGAGAGTATTAGTTGTAGGGCGGTGTGTACAGGGGGTATTAGTCTGTAGGGCGGTGTACGGAGGGTATTGGTCTGTAGGGCGGTGTACGGAGGGTATTAGTCTGTAGGGCGGTGTACGGAGGGTATTAGTCTGTAGGGCGGTGTACGGAGGGTATTAGTCTGTAGGGCGGTGTACGGAGGGTATTAGTCTGTAGGGCGGTGTACGGAGGGTATTAGTGTGTAGGGCGGTGTACGGAGGGTGTTAGTCTGTAGGGCGGTGTACGGAGGGTATTAGTCTGTAGGGCGGTGTACGGAGGGTATTAGTCTGTAGGGCGGTGTGTACGGAGGGTATTAGTCTGTAGGGCGGTGTACGGAGGGTATTAGTTGTAGGGCGGTGTACAGAGGGTATTAGTTGTAGGGCGGTGTACAGGGGGTATTAGTCTGTAGGGCGGTGTACGGAGGGTATTAGTCTGTAAGGCGGTGTACGGAGGGTATTGGTCTGTAGGGCGGTGTACGGAGGGTATTAGTCTGTAGGGCGGTGTACGGAGGGTATTAGTCTGTAGGGCGGTGTACGGAGGGTATTAGTCTGTAGGGCGGTGTACGGAGGGTATTAGTCTGTAGGGCGGTGTACGGAGGGTATTAGTCTGTAGGGCGGTGTACGGAGGGTATTAGTTGTAGGGCGGTGTACGGAGGGTATTAGTCTGTAGGGCGGTGTACGGAGGGTATTAGTCTGTAGGGCGGTGTACGGAGGGTATTAGTCTGTAGGGCGGTGTACGGAGGGTATTAGTCTGTAGGGCGGTGTACGGAGGGTATTAGTCTGTAGGGCGGTGTACGGAGGGTATTAGTCTGTAGGGCGGTGTACGGAGGGTATTAGTTTGTAGGGCGGTGTACAGAGGGTATTAGTCTGTAGGGCGGTGTACAGAGGGTATTAGTTTTTAGGGCACAACCAAATGGAAGAAAAATATATTTGAAATACTACAATTTTGGCCGTATTCAGTATATTTCAAGATATATTGCAATAAGGAAGTTCCTGTAAGGAGGAATTTATAATAGTCAACCTATCAGAGGCCTCGTTGTACGATAAAGGTGGTACACCCACCACACAGCCATCCCCTATGACTCATTCAGAAGTGACGAAACACGTCAGGGCGTGGCTGTGCGGCGAACGGAAGTGACGCTAACCAGAAGTGATGCGGGAGTGTCAGAGATGGATGGCCGGCTGTGGTAAGAGCACTGATTCGGCTTTCCTTACACTAGAGCTCACTAAAGCTACCATCTTTGGGCTTTTCACTTATTTTCATCTAGTAAGTGGCACTCTATTGTAGCAATAAAGAATCGTTTAGCTGGTACGGCACCATTTGGGCCTTTCTCGTTTTTCCTTTCTCCTACATGGTCATTTGGGTGTGGAGCATTGGGAGGATTTTGTGTGCTGGAGTTGGGGAGCGCTTGTCCTAGGATTTCCAAGATTAAGGATAAAACATCACAATGGTCTGATTCATTTCTTGGAAAGTTGTCCATTAAAGCCTATTGTGCCAACCACGAGAGAGGGGGGGGAGGCAACACTTTTTGGTGAGTGCACACCTGAGAGGGGAGCACTGCACATACATTCATGTATTTATTTTTGCACAAGTTTTCCTCACGGGGTGATCGTTTTGTGGACGGATTCATTTGGACTTTTTGGAATATCATTAATTATTAATTGTTGTTATTTCATTAATTATTTTTATGTGCAAAATATTATCCATTTTATTAATATATTTTTATAAGAGTTCTCTGCACTGATAATGGAGTTATGCACCACCTCAATACTTTTTGAAGTGTTTTTTTTTTTTTTTGTGTTATATATATATATATATATATATATATATATATATATATACACACACACACACACTGCATGTTGAAATGCGTTTTTTATATATTACAAAATATATGAAAAATATTTTTTAAAATATATTCTTCAGATTTTTTTTAACATATAAAAAAGTCATTTTTAACATATATTTGTAAATGCATTCAAAAAATGTAGATTTGTATTTTTAAAGACATACAGTTTATTTGAAATGTATTTTTAAAAAATGTTTTCATATATTTTGTAATAAAAACACATTTCAACATGCAGAGTGTGTGTATGTGTGTGTATATATATATATATATATATATATATATATATATATATATATATATATTTTTTTTTTTTTTTTGTTATTGAAATATAATTTTTAAAATATATTGCATACGGCCAAAATTGTAGCATTTCAAATATATGTCAATATATTTGGGAAGAATATAACTGCAATGACCCCCACAAAAAAGTGGCCGCAAACAATAACAAAATATATTGCAAAATAGTGAAATCAAATAAAAAGTGAATGGGTGTTGCGCTACTTTTAGTGCATGAACAAAAAAAAAAAACATAAAAATGCATAAAATAAATATATAATGAATACACGTATGCCCCTCATCCGAGTGTAAACACAACATATGCAAAAAAAAACAGGTGAAAGGGTGCAAACAATGACAAAGAACCATAATGGCGGCACAGAATGCTATACCGTGCTGGTGACAGAAGTGAACATAATGTGACAAAGTGGCTTAGTTGTAGCCTGTGTGTACAGCCTCCTTGCCAGCCCCCCACGCAGATCTTATGGGACAAAGGGCTTAGGGGGGAGCGGATGGCTTTGGTGGGGCACAATGGAACCAGCACCCCCTTAGATCCGGCCATGGTCAAACCGAAGCCTTATCCAAAGAACATCAAAGACTGATTGGTGCAGTATGTGAAAAAAAACGCCGACACTTACATGTGGTCCTAGAATACCAGGACTGTTGTTTGGCTGCAGCTGGTGGCTCCTTCTTCTTCATGCTGTCATGGAAATCTTTTAACATGGTTTGCTGGAATATCACCATCGTCACGTGTTGGACGGTCACGGCTGATTTAGATTTGACAAAATCCACCACGGCATCTAGAATTGCATCGGCCACATCTGCGGAGGAGACCTTGCCAGCGCCTGGACAAAGAGTGCGATAGAAGAGCAGAGAGTGACCAAGAGGACACATTATGGAGGACTTCCTCACCCTCCTCTCCATTGTTCCACAAACACGTGGCTTCTACAATCAGCTATCACATCCATAATCTTTCTTGATTCGTTTTTGAACTTTCCTTCTCCTCGGTCATGTTCTTTGTCTCTGCTTCATGTTGGAAATACTGCCCTTCTGAACGTCATATATTGACAGGATTCAGTCTTGTTCTCCCTCCCTTCTTTCCTCCAGGCTCCAGGCTGTATATATTAGCTTCCTACAGTCTCTCCTGAAATGTTTTGTCCCTCAGACCTTTCACCATTTTTGTTGTCCATCTCTGGACTTGTTTTGTCTTTTAACAATTGAGGTCTCCAGGATTGGACACAGTATTCTAAATGAGGTCTAACTAAATATCTTTATAAAGGAGGAATCAGGACCTCCTTCCTCCTGCCGGTGACCCCTCTAGTGATATAAAGATCTATATAGAGGAATCAGGACCTTCTTCCTCCTGCCGGTGACCCCTCTAGTGATATAAAGATCTATTTAGAGGATTCAGGACCTCCTTCATCCTGCCGGTGACCCCTCTAGTGATATAAAGATCTAAATAGAGGAATCAGGACCTCCTTCCTCCTGCCGGTGACCCCTCTAGTGATATAAAGATCTATATAGAGGAATCAGGACCTCCTGCCAGTGACCCCTCTAGTAATATAAACATCTATACAGAGGAATCAGAACCTCCTTCCTCCTGATCTATACAGAGGAATCAGGACCTCCTTCCTCCTGATCTATATAGAGGAATCAGGACCTCCTTCCTCCTGATCTATATAGAGGAATCAGGACCTCCTTCCTCCTGATCTATATAGAGGAATCAGGACCCTCCTTCCTCCTGCCAGTGACCCCTCTATTGATATATAATGATCTGTATAGAGGAATCGGGACCTCCTTCCTCCTGATCTATATAGAGGAATCAGAACCTCCTTCCTCCTGATCTATATAGAGGAATCAGGACCTCCTTCCACCTGCCGGTGACCCCTCTAGTGATATAATGATATATATATATAGAGCAGCCTTTTCAACCTTTTCAACACAGAAGGACCTCGGAAACAACGTTTCAATCCTAGAGAACCCCTGCTAAAAATCAACTATATCTACAACTCACGATACATTAGTGTGATGGTCATTTGGAAGAATGCTCCTTACTCTTGTGGTCATTGGGAAGAATTACCTCATGAAAGATAGCTAAAAAGATCAATGGTGTCAGTGAGAACTTATCTGAAAAGCATAAATTTCTCATTGCTCAAGGAACCTCTAGTAACCTCTGGAGGAACACTAGGGTTCCACGGAATCCTGGTTGAGAGACCCAGAGGAATCAGAACCGCCTTCCTCCCGCTGGTGACCCCTCTTGTAATATAAAGATCTATTTAGAGAAATGGGGACCTCCTTCCTCCTGCCGGTGACCCCTCTAGTGATATAAAGATCTATATAGAGGAATCAGGACCTCCTTCCTCCTGCCGGTGACCCCTCTAGTGATATAAAGATCTATATAGAGGAATAGGGACCTTCTTCCTCCTGCCGGTGACCCCTCTAGTGATAAAGGATCTATATAGAGGAATCGGGACCTCCTTCCTCCTGCCGGTGATCCCTCTAGTGATATAAAGATCTATATAGAGGAATCGGGACCACCTTCCTCCTGCCGGTGACCCCTCTAGTGATAGGATCTATATAGAGGAATCAGGACCTCCTTCCTCCTGCCGGTGACCCCTCTACTGATATAAAGATCTTTATAGAGGAATCAGGACCTCCTTCTCTACCTCTTATTGTCTGGGGAAACTTCTGACCCACCAAATCTCTAGTGATAGGATCTATATAGAGGAACCTCCTTCCTCCTGCTGGTGACCTAGTGATATAAAGATCTATATAGAGGAATCAGGACCTTCCTCCTGCCGGTGACCCCTCTACTGATATAAAGATCTATATAGAGGAATCAGGGACCTCCTTCCTCCTGCCGGTGACCCCTCTAGTGATATAAAGATCTTTAAGAGGAATCGGGACCTCCTTCCTCCTGCTGGGGACCCCTCTAGTGATATAAAGATCTATATAGAGGAATCGGGACCTTCTTCCTCCTGCCGGTGACCCCTCTACTGATATAAAGATCTATATAGAGGAATAGGGACCTCCTTCCTCCTGCCGGTGACCCCTCTAGTGATATAAAGATCTATTTAGAAGATTCAGGACCTCCTTCCTCCTGCCGGTGACCCCTCTAGTGATATAAAGATCTATATAGAGGAATCAGGACCTCCTTCCTCCTGCCGGTGACCCCTCTAGTAATATAAACATCTATATAGAGGAATCAGGACCTCCTTCCTCCTGCTGATGATCCCTCTAGTGAGGAACCCCAGAATTCTGTTCACTTTCCCCACTGCCAGGCCCCACTGTTAGCTCATTCTAAAATAACTAAGAACCCCCAAATCTTTATTTCTCTATAATTCTGTCACTTTACCCCCAATACTGTGTTCTATGGAAGAATTCTTGTTTTCTAAGTGCATTAATTTACATTTTTAAAATGAAACTGCAGATTCCATTGCTTGTAACAATAGTAAAGTAATGCTATCACTTCTACAGCAATACTGGATTACAACAATGAAGCAGAATAAAACATGTAAATGTAATTATCTGTCTATTTATATACTGTATGTATTGTGTTTGGTGGGGCACCTCTAGCAGCCGTTATGTCCTACCGGATGACGTGGTTTCTGGTTCTGCACTGGAGTGATGACGTCAGAGAGAAGAGTGAAAAGAAGATTGGTCAGAGACCAGCGTGCAGAGCAGCTTCGGTGGACCGGTCATCACAACTGCTGGCAGCAAGATGGACCGTTGATTAAGGTAAGTACTAGTGTATCTTAGGGATTTTATTGACAAAAATAAAGACTTGCATATTGCCTATGAGTGGGGTCGTCACTATTAAGTTTTTGAGTTGGCTGCAGTTGGGCTTTAAGACTGAATATGTAAGTCTTTTTTTGTAAATAAAGCCCCTAAGACACACTAGTACTTACCGGTATCAACGGTCCATCTTGCTGCCACCAGTTGTGATCACCAGTCCACTGAAGCTGCTCTTTACTTTCCTGCCAACAAAAATCATGAACGCCTTTTCACACACAGGTTCTGCTATGCAATAATGTGTCCAGACTGTGAAATAAAAACATTTCTCCTTCCAAACTGTCTAATACAAATTTCCACCAAACCTGCCCTAGGAAATTACAGGTGGAACACGAATGTTTGAATACAATTGGATGGCTATGGGAGACGAGACGGCAGACAGCTTTTATTTCAGACACAGATAACTCGGGAGCTCTGGGAATCTCTCACCTGTCCCCATGGCTGGAAAGACCACTGAGGTTGCTTGTTGTCTCTCACATATGTGCAGGGCATCCATTACACACTTCCCTATTAAATCTGGTTTAGTTTGGCCAACAATATGTATTATATTTTTACAATGAAGTTTTCCTCCTAGCGTCACCACGTACCCATTGTTGGGTTGGGTTCCTGGAAAAAAAAGAAAAGAAGGAAAATTTGTGAGCAATGATGAAGGAGTTTATCTTTGGATATTGGGGTGATCTGATGAAAAGCACATACATAAAAACACATAACCTCATAGAACTCATTGTATCTTAGCTGCTGGAGGTACCAGGAGGAAAAGATACCCCTTTTCCCAGCTACCTTTGTGAGATGGGGAAACAGCTCTCATTGTTTGAACACTGTTTGTGTGGAGTAAATTATTGTGTGGAGTAAATTAAATGTTCTGGGGTGACATTCTGAGGTTTAGCCACAAGATTCCACTGTTTTCCTAACATAGCCTCAGACCACATAGATATTTCTATATTCATGAAGAGGTGGGGTTTTCAGGCAGAGTTGAAAGAACAGGAAGAGGAGAGAGCAGCCATGTTTGGAGCATGGTGAATGCAGGAGCCGTGTGAGCAGAGAATCTGATGGCATCCAGGCGTGAGAGCATACCTCAGTAACCAGAGCTTCAGCTAAGTGAAGCTGATCGTGTCCAAGACCCTGATCCTGTTCAGAGAAAAGAAGATTGCTGCCAGGAATGCTGATGAGAGCAGAGGAACAAAGCAACATACACTGCGAGACCGCATGCTTGTTGGAGAGACATTTGTTCTGTTCAGAGTCACCAGCGGATGAAAAGCAGACCCGGGTTAGTAAGATTGTGCACGCACCTAATTTCAGTGTTGGCGCCTAGAGACTGAGGCCAGGCCTATAGTTAGTTAGTTAGGGTCTCTGTTTGTGTCAGGCCACAAGTGTTATTGCTGATCTTTGGAAGGACTCCATAACTTAAAGTGACATTTCACATTGGAGAGCTGATAAAATTCCACAAACTCAAGCCAGACTGGCGTTTTGCTCAGAAGGAATACTCAGGCACGTGCTACAGGACCAGTTATGGGGGGGGGAATACTGTAGATTTGTGTAAGATTGTAAGCTGTTGTGCTGCACCGCAGGCTAGCCCATCCCATACACCCATACACTGATTCCTGCTCTGTAGGGTAATAACAGGTAAGGTGTGGCAGCTTAGTTGTGCCCCCCAGTAGGTAAATTACTACCCTTTCTACCTTCATCCACCAGGAGGCGCCGTGCTGTGCAGCACAAGGGTCTCAGCCAGGCTGGGTGTATGTAAATTTATTGTATGTTCCCAGCATTTGTGGTTGTGTTTATTTGCCACATCTAAGTAACATTCTGTTGTGACAAAAGCTGGTGTTGGGGTTGTTTCCTCGTTCGTGACTTCACTGTATCCTGGGGAGCCCACCCCGGTACACGGCTTACACCTTTACCTGAGCAGCCAATCAGAACCTCTGCTTCATGCAGATCCTGACCTGTATGGCGGCTGTAATGAAGAAGAGATTGGAGGGAACCCAAAAGTGCTAAATGGTGAGAATTTATGGCCACATTGAAGAGTAAGGAGGGGGAAATTGCTGCATTCACAGTTCATTTTCAATTTAAACTGGGCTCATTTCCAACACTTAAAAATGTTGTCTCTCCCCTAAAAAAAATTAAGTTTTGAATTGATATTGGTTTTGCATCATAAAATCTCTTTCTGCCAAAGATGAAATGGTCCCATGTTCCTCAAGGAAGAACTAAACTCAAGATCAAATGGCATGGTGGGGCTTGGGGTGAAAAAAAAAGTGAAACAGGCCGCCCACTCTGAACATGTGCTTCAGATCAGTTGTATATTGGATGGAACATGGATCAGATCTGGTGGCTGTACCGTGTACCAATGACATTTAAGAACTTCTGATTTGAAGATACAATTCCTGTTTCCTATTTAAAAAATTACTTTCTTTTCTCTATTTAACTTATTGTACGGCCATCATCAAATTTCCTGGATTGGTTCCTTGTCATTCACGAGATCTACATTTCTGTATGAATTATTTACCAAAGCTTTCACGTTGTTTCATGTATTATAGGTCACATGCTCTCTATCTGGTTCTCTTTCCACATGTAATAAATTCTTCACAAAATTTCTTACCGAGCCTGGCACATTCACTTTCTATCTGAGGCCCCGCTCCTTCCAGGATGGCTTTAGAAACTCCTGCAACAACACAACATATCAGCTTCAAATTGTCAAAATGGAATTCAGTATTTGTTTAGTGAATAGAACCAGCAAGATTCCTCTACAAGGTCAAATGAAGCCAAGAAATACTGTGTGAGAAATATTTTATCTCTATGAAGTCATACAAACAACAAGACTTTATATATCGGATCACAAGCCTTCTGCATTTGGAGATGAACAAAACTAAAGAAGAGCCTTTTATGGTTAATTTATTTCCTTCAAGCATGATGCGTTACGTTTGTCTGTGAATAAAGTGTCCTATGGGAGAAACTGTTATTGGAGATAACTGATGTCAAACAGACCTCTCCACCTGGATATCAAATCTCCAACATGACCCTCCATGAGGTAGAACATACTCTACTCCTGGCCTACTCTTTTCCTTTCTAATTGCACTAACCACCAGGATATCATACCTTTGACGTGACCCCCCAATAGCAAAGAACATATTCATCCCTTCACCTTTCTAATTGGACTCACCAATGAGATATCATATCTTTCAACATGATCCTCCATAAGGCAGAACATACTCTGCTCCTGACCTTCTATCTACCTTCCTGATTACGCTCACCACCAGGATGTCACACCCTCCATCACAACCCTCCATATTATAGAAGATAATCTGCTCCTGGCCTTCTCTCTACCTTTTCCAGTTGCATTCACCTCTGGGATTTCACACCTCCAACATGACCCTCCATAAGGTGGAACATACTCTGTTCCCGACCTTCTCTCTACCTTTCTGATTACGCTCACCACCAGGATGTCACAACTCCAACATGACCCTCCATAAGGTAGAACATACTCTGCCTCTGACCTTCTCTCTAACTTTCTGATTACGCTCACCACCAGGATGTCAAACTTCCAACATGACCCTCCATAAGGTAGAACATACTCTCTGTTCCTGACCTTCTCTCTACTTTTCTGATTACACTCACCACCTGGATGTCACACCTCCAACATGACCCTCCATAAGGTAGAACATACTCTGCTTCTCACCTTTTTTATCTACCTTTGTGATTACACTCACCACCAGGATGTCACACCTCCAACATGACCCTCCATAAGGTAGAACATACTCTGCTTCTCACCTTTTATCTACCTTTCTGATTACACCCACCACCAGGATAACAAACCTCCAACATGACCCTCCATATGGTACAAAACACTCAATGGCTCAATGGGTTGTACTGTAGGCTCTGCTGCATGTGATCTTTTGGTGAGCTTGTTATGGTCATCTCACAGTTCTCAAAAAGATTTTCACATTTCATGGTCCCAGAAACATTCTAGTGAATACCTGATTTGAGGTTGAACGTGTTATTGGTGGAGTTGACAATGATGTCACACTTTTCCTTTGTTATATCTCCAGTTTTCACCTGGTAGGTGAGAGATCCAATCTTCATTTCATAGACATCCTTTGCAGGGCTTTTCACATTGCCCAATAAAGCTACAAAACAGATCACAATTGCAAGAGATAATCACCCGTTATTGTATTCCAGATCATCCAGATTCACTATGAAGTCTGTTTTTTTTGTGCGCCTTTATTTTTAAAGAACATTATATGTTACTGGTTTTGACCAAAAATATACCCTGCGTGACCCCAAAAACAGTTATCAGAGTTTTCGTTTGGCATCAATTCCACAAAACCTACTGCTGAAATGTATTGAAGCAACCTGCATTCAGTGCGGGACACTTGGACCCATTGGTGGCTTTGCACATTCCATCATTACAATGAGGCACAATGTCTGCAGTATAGGAGTCTATGATGTTCCTGTACATAGCACGGATATAACTTACATTGGGGTTTGTCTTCTTTCTTCTGTCCTCCAGTGTTGATCTTTTTCTCCAGCTCAGAGTTAAAAGCCTGAAACCAACAACAGCGGATGAGATTTACTCATTACAATGGAGAACCATAAAATCGCACAACGCTCTGTTACTTCACTCTTCTAACTACAATCCCATGAAAACTCCTCATTACCTTTATATTTTCTGTGTCACTCGGGTGCAGCATGCAATCCACTTGTTTCAGATATTGGAGTTGATTTTTGCTGCTGAACTCGAGAATTTCCTCAAACATTAAGACAGCCGCAATATTCCTGGGAAAACCCAGATATCCTGTTCCGATGGCTGGGATTGTGATTGATCGGTGTTGTTTGGTTTCTGTGGTGCTCAGACAGTCACTCACAACTTTTCTCAGAATCTGTCAACAGATAAGATCAGCTAATAATACAGGCGGGTGATGGTGCAGCAGAGTTGTATAAATATGGATGAATGGACAAACAGATTTGGATGGATAGATGTATGGATGGTGGAAGGATGGATGGTGGATGGATGAATAGATGGAGGGATAGATGGTGGACAGATGAATGTATGGATGATGGAAGGATGGACAGAAGGATGGATGATAGATGTATGGATGGTGGACTGATGGATGTATGGATGGTGGACTGATGGATGTATGGATGGTGGACTGATGGATGTATGGATGGTGGACTGATGGATGTATGGATGGATGAATCAATCAGCCAGAAGGTGAAGGGAGATTGTTAGTTTGAAGTAATTAAACTGTGACCTTAGGCTGCCATTGTGGCCACTGCAACTCAACAGGCTGCAGAGTGAGATGACTGCTAAGGAATGGACTGGACCTGAAACTGCTAATAACCCATTATGTTTCCAAGCTAGAATTTGTATTTTTCCTTCTTTTTAGTTGTGTGTAAGTGTGTCATTATTCACTGTTACATATCGAGAGGCCTAAATTGCTTATATAATGGTTTCCTAGTGGGCGGAATGTTGCCAGGCACTACAGCTAGACCACTTCTGGAAAAATTGTCACACATTCTCTTAGCTGGGAGGAATAATCTCTTCCATTTCCATACCTTCTCAGAAGAACCATTTGCACCATTCCACTCAGGAACCACACAGCATGGATAACCATGTCTCACAGGGCAGTTTACAGCCATCAGTAACAAATATGGAGCCGTCTTCCACCTGCTTCCCCTGTCTCTCTGCATTCAGAAGATCCTGGAGGTTGTTTCCAGCCTTCCTGTACAAAGCCTTCGACACAGCTCCAGCACCAAGATCTAGGGCTGTTCCCACACTGTTTACCACCACATTGGTCTACAGAAAGAAGACAGATCATTACTGACAAATCCAATTGGAAGAAGCATTCAGACAAGTTACAAAGTAAAAGTTTGCTGATTATAGTCATGTAAATTAGTAGGTGAACCCCATGGAAATTGTTGACATTTTCAACATATTTGAACAGGCAGACATTAGATCTTCATTCAAACAGTGCCTACAAACCAGACAAAGGTGATATGCTTGAACAAAAGATACATGCAATTAGCATGGTTTATTCATTCTTCTAATCCAAAAAACAAAAATGTAGATCTGCCACATGGAAAAAGTAAAAACTGACAACCCTACCACCATTTCAAATCCTTGAAGTTAGAATCAGTTGTTTCCGATTAGGTGATAATGATTAGAACCTTCTTGGACAGTATGTAGGTACAAGTCTTATTTAAACCTTGGATATCTAGAGTCTGGTCTTTTCTATTGGCGTGTGTGGTGTCATCATTCCAAGATCCCCCGAAAGAAGGTTTTGGATGCTTACGAGTCTGGCAAGAGTGTAGAATTCAAACATCTTCTAATGTGTTAATAACTGACTGACCCAGTCAATTCAGCCCAAATGCTGACTGTGTGATGATAGAAGAAGTCTCTAAGGACCCCAAAATTACATCCAATTAACATATATTATTCAATTAACATATAGGCAAAGACCAGGTAGACAATGACAATAGACAATGTGCTGAAGACTGATCAATCAAGGACCAGGCCTTCTGGAACAATATTCTGAAGACTGATCAATCAAACATCAGGCCTTCTAAAACTATATGCTGAAGACTACTCAATCAGAGACCAGGCCTTCTGAAACAATGTGCTGAAGACTGATCAATCAAAGACCAGACCTTCCAGGACAATATGCTGAAGGATGCCTAAAGACCATGTCTTCTAGAACAGTGTGCTGAACACTGATCCATTAAACACCAGGCCTTCTAGAACAAAGTGCTGAAGACTGATCAGTCAAGGACCCGGCCTATTAGAACAATGTTTTGAAGACTGATCAATCAAAGACCAGGCCTTCTGGAACAATATGCTGAAAACTGATCAAAGACCAGGCCTTCTGGAACAATGTGCTGAAGACTGATCCATTAAAGACCAGGCCTTCTAGAACAATGTGCTGAAGACTGATCAGTCAAGAACCAGGCCTTCTAGAACAACGTATTGAAGACTGATCAGTCAAGGACTAGACCTTCTGGAACAATATGCTGAAAACTGATCAAAGACTAGGCCTTGTAGAACAATGTGCAGAAGACTGATCAATCAATCAAACACCAGACCTTCTAGAACAATGTGCTGAAGTCTGATCAAAGATCGAGTTGTTTGGGCGCAGTAATAGTAGATATTCTTGACGCAAACCAAATACAGCATTTTATGAGAACGTCATAACAACTGTGAATTATGGTGGTACAGATGTTATGGTTTTAGATTGCTTTGCTGCGTCAAGGCCTGTCAGGCCAGTTTGCCAAAGACTGGCAGGCAGTTAGGCAAACTATATATATGAAAAATCTTGTTGTGCTGTATGTGTAAATTCCACTATGAACATAAGGGTGTGTGGCAACCAAATCAAAGTAATAGCGCAAAGTTCTGGTCCCCCAGAACCATATATGTGTAGAAAATCAACTTTTAAAATCTTCTGTGAAATCCCAGGTAAATACCACCACCACTGCGGCAATCGCCCCTCTTACCTAACAGGAAAGACCCCAGTATATAGAAGATTTTAACTGGCATGAGAACTCTTGCAGTGATCATATCATAAACACCGGGAGCCACAGATAGCGCCAGCAGGGATCAGAACTGATTCTCACCTCCACTCAGCCTAAAACATGTATCCAGCAAGAGAACACATAACAAACCTCATATAGTGCGAATCTCCAGGTTTACTGCTTTAAAATCGAAAGAATTACTCACAAGCATAGATTTGTATAAGACCAAACAAATATCTCCACCAGCACTTTCTCCGGCGGCGTGATGACGTCAGCACAAGCTCTGCCCTGATGTGTATCATCACACTAGACATTCTCAGGGGGCCAACAAGTAATTTCTGCTAAAGTGGCAATACCAAGGGCCACGGGTGTACTTATGTTTTCCACATTATGCCATTATATCTATTGATATTGTTATTGAATAAATAATAGAAAAGGCGAATTTCTCCAGTGTTCTTGTTCAAGTATATCACGTTTTATCTGAAGGCACTGTATGAATAAAGATCCAATCTTTACCTACTCTAATTTATCACAAAAAGTCAACAATTTCCACAAAGGGTGTACTTATTTTTTCACATGACCATAACTGTAGGCTATCCAGGATAGTGAAACATTTTCATAAAACATGTACAGTGTGTGTGTAGAGGTACACAGTATATATAACATAGGCTTGGGGTCTTCATATTCCTTGGCTCACATTTGATATGGAATGGACGTATATTAGAAGTCCTGCATAATGTTACATCTTGTGATAAGTTATTACAGGTGTAGCACTACCTCTTAAGAGTTGCTGAAGATTTGGGTCCCCCTATAGTCCTGCACAGCCAAGCAACACACATGTTCTCAGACTTGTATTTCTGGAGACAGTAAACAGTCCTTGAGCTTGTTTTTTTAGTTTTATTAGGGGTATTGAGCTTGGATGGTGTAAGTGGTGTATGGGAAGCCCAAGGAACAGTGAACAAACTCCTTAGCAAATATGTATGAGTTCATAGAAGGGTTTCTCTTCTTGGAGTGTTCTCCAGCCTCTCCTAGTATACCCCCCCCCCAGATCCCAGATAAATCCTCCTCTTATCCAACTGCCTGAGGGAATCTTTGGGCAATGGGATCTAGTACCTGCCACAGTAAGTTGAGTAAGTTGAACAGTCCCGGGTATGGAGCTAATAAAGTTTCCCACTAGAGTGCTCTTTTCCCCTTAACTGGCCCAGGGGGGTGTTAGGATTACCTACTCCCGTCTCTCACTCCTGTGAGCTGGTGTGGGTAGGTGGCTGTCTTCAAGCCTTCTGCTGGGCTGGCTTTTTTCCTGGCTCTACAAGTGGCCATCACCAGGGGAGTATTTACCACAAGTCATTTGCCTAGGGAGGCATTTTTCAGGGGAGACACCACTCCCTGGAAGAAGAAACAGAAGAAGGGACACACGCGTCATGGGTCCAGGTGGGAACAGAGAGAGACTGTGGACTTCTTGATGGTGTATGTAGAGCCCGACTCTCATTCCCGGGGATGTTCGGAGCTGTGAAAGTGAGTGTCTTCTCTCTCTTGCCGGGGGTTGGGCATCTGGTGTATGAGGGGCGATGGTAGTGGAAGGCTCTCTTGGGTGGGGGGACAGGGGTGTTTATTGATCAATGTCAGTCTCTCTCCATGGGGGTTTGGGGGGTGTGTTGGTCTGGTACCAAGCTCTCTCTGCGGGGGAGGGGGGTGGGCAATTTTTATGTTGCCTAGGGCAGTACAAAACCTAAATACACCATTGGCCCTTGCTCTGGGGGTCAGCAAGGCTGAGCGATCCTCCTTTCCCTGCCTGTAGTTAGGCCCTTCCCACTGGGCCCCCTCCCAGGCTCCTGCATCTCAGCCTTCCTCACATCTTCCACCTGAACTTTCCTGTTGCTGAGCAGGTTCAGTAATTGAAGGCTGCTTTGGTCCCATGCCAAGTCTCCTGCTTGGGGATTGGACAGAGTCCTTTGAGCATGCAGACCAGCCCCTCCTCAACCCTGCCCACTGCTTCTAGAATCTTTTCCAAGATTCTAGAGCAGGGGGAGGTATCAAGGTACTGATCTGCAGAGCCTCTCAGCCCTGAGCAGAATTTGACCCAGCTGACTTGTGATGTGGGTGGGACAGAACACACGCGGAGATGTCAAGGTCCTACCTTTTCCCTGAGGTTATGTTACTCCATGTGCTGGCGTCCATCTTGGATTTCTGCTGTGCATGGTGGGAATCCTTTTATGCCTTCAGGTTTCTGAGGTCCATCCCCCAGAGGGGTGTGGCTGATGACATATAAGCCTGTGGTCCGCACATGCTCTTTGCACTTGTGTCTTGTGTCTTGGTGTTGCTATTACTCTGTTCTGACTCTCGTGACGCTCCTGGTATCTGATTCGGCTTGTGACTTGACTATTCTTTGTATTCTCCTTTGATCTGACCCTCTGTTGCTGAACTCGGCCCGTGACCCGTGATTCTCGTCTGCTGTCCTGTACTGTTTTGTCCTGTTGTTGTTGACCCGGCCTGTCTGACTACTCTTTTGTCTCTTCCACCAGCTACACGCTATTGGCGGCGGCCATTACCGCAGCTGAGGTGTCTCGGGGGCCGCGACCTGGTTCCTGGCTGCGTCAAGTCCATCCTCACCTGGTGAAGGGCAGCCTGGGACTTAGACTCCGCGCCCTGAGGCACTTCGGTCTGTGGGTGGTGGTTGTCGTCAGCCAGTGCGTTACATTGTTAGGCCTGCCTGTCCATTCCTCGGCCCCTGTCCTGACATTACACAAGTGCCATGAACCCTGACGGTGCGGGCACGCCTTCGCTCCCAACGCTAGTCGCCAGACTCGATCAACAGGATCACCTGTTGGATCAGTTCACTCAGGCGTTGCAAACTCTGCTTGCACGCACTGCACACCTTGCTCCTGGTGCTATTAGGCCGGTAGTCACTCCGGTGGTCTCTTCCGCTGCTTCTCCGCCTATTGCGTCCACCACTTCGGCGGCTGCATCAGCGGCGCCCAGAGGTATGACTGGTTCTGCCCCTCTTCCACAGCGCTTTGGGGGTGAGCCGAGTCAGTGTCGTGGGTTCCTCAACCAGGTGGGTATTTATTTTGAACTAATACCCCACGCCTTTCCGTCTGAGAGGTCAAAGGTGGGGTTCCTAATTTCACTACTCTCAGACAAGGCCTTGGCCTGGGCAAATCCCTTATGGGAGAGGAACGACCCGGTGATTCAAGATTTTTCCCACGTATTCGACGTACCGGCTCGTTCCGCCTCGGCGGCTAAGCTGCTCATGACCATGCATCAGGGTTCATGGACCGTGGCCGAGTACGC